TCAGTGATAATTGGGTGGAACAATAATTGAAATGGTTAATTTTACAAAGTTGTATTACTTGATATAAAGTATAATTTTATGAAGTTCATGAAAAATTTTCACATCTTTATTTTATTTAATCTTCACACCAGCTATAACATCTAGATCCTGTTTTTTTTTTTTCTTTTCCAATTTATAGATAGAAGAAAAGAGACTCATACATTAGCAATAGACTAAACAGGGAAAATCCCTAATCATAGGACCAGTATTTTTTGTTAAGTTATGCAAATGTTCTTTGTAAGCTGTAAAAGATGCATACATACATACAGGCTTCTGCATTCTATCACTTTTAATTTTCTTTTTGCTTCTATTAGCTTGTCACCCTCTTTTCTGCCAATTGGTAGAGTAGAAAGAGCTCACTCTCACCACTTCAACAAACATTACAAATTCCCCACACATCAGATGAGGTGGGGAATCCCTGCCAAGCAAAGGACAATAGATTTTTCAAGTCAATGAAATGAAATTTTGAATAATACAGGGAGATTAAATAACTATGTTTTTAAAATGAGGTTTCAGATGACAGCTGTGGCAGCTGACAAGCTTATCTATAGTCCTTTTCAGAGGAATGCTGCCTTTTTGACAATAGTGGCTACAGCCACGCTGTAAAACACAGAATGCTCTAGTATATTCCAGGTGATTTCTGGAATTTCTGATACTCTGATTTCAGTGATAAGCCCAAGGATCAACATCTGACCTGGAGTCAAACCTTCATAGAATAACAGTGGCATTTGAAGTGCCCATATATTTACTGTTGGCCAGTGGATGCTTAATCAAATTCTTATTCTTGGGAAATTCAAATGCAAATCTGATGCATTCTGGCTCAACTTATTCATTGTTTACTTTCTAGTCCTGCTTCCTGGTATCTTGAAGGTACCCTCTCCACACCAGAAACAAAGATTTAAGAAACTGCTCACCAAGTTTGAGACCAAAGTTTCCAATGCTTGCACAAAAATCTTTGAGTAGATTTTATCTCCTACTCAAACAACAACAACAAGTAAATCTTTAGAGGAGAGAGGAAAGGGAAAAGGAGGGTGGCTGGAAGGAGAAAGGAACAGTAGGGAGTGGATTTTTTTAATTGAGAAGGAAAAGGAGGGTCACAAGGAATAAACAGTGAAGTGAAGAGACTTCACTGGTAGTGAAGGGGCTCAGACTCCATGCTCCCAATGCAAGGGGCCTGAGTTCGATCCCTGATCAGAGAACTAATGCCACATGTCACAACTAAGAGTTTGCATGCTGTAACTAAAAGATCCCACATGCCATAACTAGAAGATGAAAGATCCTGTGTGGCACAACTAAGACCCAGTGCAAATAAATCAATAAATGTTCAAAAAGAAAGTAGAAGAGATCCAGCCAAGCTGACATTGAGGGTATAGCTGTCTCAGTGGCCTGTGGCTTGAGGTCAAATTAAGGTTCAAGATGGACACTTAGACCTTCAGAAATTGGAAACTTAGGCTTCTTGTATGCAGATGGGGGCACACTATGATGGAAGTAAACCAGGCAATGAGAATTTCCTTAAATTCTGGGTCAATCGTAGACCCACTGTCATTGTCACAGAAACCTTACAAGTTGACAGTTGCTGTAGGCATAGTGAAAGAAAACAGAGGTGGGATAATTGAGTCTCTATAACCTGAAAACACTTAAATATTGATCAACAGGTGAAACAAAGTGCTCCAGTACACTGTACATTTAAGGTTTGATTTGCAGATACTAGGACTGTCTTCTCTAACTCCTTAGTTCCTTCTATACATACTCCTATAATAAGCACCCAACAGCCAAGCAATCAGAAAATATCACTCTATTCTTTGCAAAGTTCAAGAGATTAATGCAGCCATCTCTAATAATACATGGGAGAGGGACTAGTCAGGATAAACCTGATTACATTGCAGTAACTGATATATAACCCCAAACCTCAGTAGCTTAAAACTATAAGGTTTATTTGCTATGAATGCCCATTGTGGGTAATCTGAGGGTTCTCTCCAGTGTGCTCGCTTCAGGACTCTGATGAATCTGCTCCAGCTGGAGGTTGCTGGTCACTGCACCAAAGAGAAAGAGAGCCAGGTACTCTTTATTATTATGCACTGGCTCCTTAAAGTATCTGCCAGGCAAGTACACTCACATTTCATTGGCCAAAGCAAGTCACATGGTCACATGTAACTTCAAACAAGCCTATGTGTGTCCCATCAGGCACCAAATATGTTGTGGACAGCACCAATGGTGACTGAGGGAAGAAGAGGACATCCAGATAAAATAGAATTTCTGTGATTTTGAAGCAGTGCAATATTACCATCTTGAATATTTATTCCAAAAAAAAAATGGACCATTTGTGCTATGGTTTGGAGATTTTTTTGTCATAAAAATTTATAACTTTTTTTGAAACAGTACTTGTTTTAGGATAGTCTTTGCAAGAAAATTTATGACTAAGCTTTCTGGGCTTCCTTAGGGCTCAGATGGTAAAGAATCCACCTGCAATGCAGGAGATCAAGTTCAATCACTGGGTTGGGAAGATCCCCTGGGAAAGGGAATGGCTACCCACTCCAGTATTCTTGCCTGGAGAATTCCATGGGCGGAGGAGCCTGGTGGGCTACAGTCCAGAGGATCACAAAAAATCAGACACAACTGAGTGACTAACATTTTCACTGTCATAGTTTATATTAAGACTCACATTTTGTGTTGTACATTTCAAACTCATAGAATGGACTTGAAAAATCTTTTTTTTTTTCAATGAGCAAAAGTAGTTGTAATTGAAAATATATGAGGAAACTGACAAAAGAGACTACAGTCAGTTCTTACAATGTATGGTGCTTTACATTATTCATCTACGCTAAACAGACTCTGGTTGAGATTTGACTGAGAAATCAAAACCTATACAGACAAGCAACAGTTAAGCAAATTTAGCACCACCAAACCAGCTTTACAACAAAAGCTAAAGGAGCTTCTCTATGCAGGAAACAGAAGAGAAGGAAAAGACCTACAATAGATAAGCCCCCAAAATTTAAGAAAATGTTCATAGGATCATGCATGTGTGCATGCTAAATTGCTTCAATGTGTCTGAATTCTTTGCAACCCTATGGACTGTAGCCTGCCTGGCTCCTCTGACCATGGGATTCTCCAGGCAAGAATACTGGAGTGGGTTGCCACGCCTCCTCCAGCGGATCTTCCCAACCCAGTAATCAAACTTGAATTTCCTGCATTGCAGCAGATTCCTTACTGCTAGTGCCACATAGCGGAGAAAGCAATGGCACCCCACTCCAGTGCTCTTGCCTGGAAAATCCCATGGATGGAGGAGCCTGGCAGGCGGCAGTCCATGGGGTCGCTAAGAGTCAGACACAACTGGGCGACTTCACTTTCACTTTTCACTTTCATGCATTGGAGAAGGAAATGGCAACCCACTCCAGTGTTCTTGCCTGGAGAATCCCAGGGACAGGGGAGCCTGGTGGGCTGCCGTCTATGGGGTCGCATAGAGTCGGACACGAC